AGAGAGAGAGAGAGAGAGAGAGAGAGAGAGAGAGAGAGAGAGAGAGAGAGAGAAGAAAACACTCACCAGCTTGATCCGGCATGTAACTAAGGGACCGACCCGCGACTCAGGTTTAGTAAGCCGATGTGGCGTTGAACCAGGGCGCCTTGTTTCCCGAGGCCGCCCTGTAGATCGGTTGCAGATGTCGTGCAGCATAAGGCAGATGGCATGTGCAGCGCATTCAGAACTACAGATCTAAAAACTCTTGCATTCTCGAACATAATCCCGCAAAGGGCGGCGTCTAATCAATACAAAGAGGCAAGTATCTCCATACATACATTCACTGTGGAAGGTGCGGAAATGACAAGGGTACACAGGTCGGAAATAAACCGAGGAATTTGTACACACGCATCCACCATTCACAAGACAGGAGGATCAACTCCTTGACATTGGGGGATTACCCAGGAAACTAATGGAAGAGTTCCGGAAGAAGTTCTTTCATGCAGAACAACACACAAATTCATCCCTATTCATGAGAGGGACTGGCATCCAGACTCATCGTCAAAGATAGAGAGGAGAGAGAGAGACAGGGGAGGAAGGTCGAGATAGGAAATGACAAGATCCGACAAGAGGAAGTTCGGCGTTGCCGCCGTACACTCATACCAGAGAAAAAGATCCGCAACAACAAAGGCGCATTCGCCGTGAATTCCAATATGACCCCGGGCCAATCACTCCTAACCCCAATCATCGATCCTCATACCCGCACCAATGATCCCGACCGTCGCGTGCTAACTCCCACCACTGCGATCGTCACCCCGCTGATGTAAACTCGACGCGGTTCGCCTAGATCCCACAGTCCGTCGTGGCGATCAAGCACGCAACCGGCCAGCCTATCGACAACCCGACAGGACTTTCCGACTCGCATCAAACACTCTGCCTAGCCACTGCTTCCCGGAAGCTTGCTTGGGAGTCGAGAATGTAAGAGAGCTTTGCGGGCGCGTGTGCCAAATTTATAGTGGCGAGGAAGGAGACAAGGGAGAGAGAATGCAGGGGGAAAGTCGAAGTGTAAGAAGAGAAGCAGGAGGAGAAGACTTTGAGAAGAGAGCTCCGTGAAAGCCATGTTGATCCCTCGAGACCTAAGGTTCAACCAATCAGATTCGTCGCGCAATAGGAAGATCCTATTGATCCACGTACCTGATTGGCGAGCGGGAGTTATCGAAGGATTGACCGGGCGTCATGCGCTGAATTCAGAGGGTGGGAAGGAAAAAGGCGCGAGAAGTAGCGCAAGACGGGTCCAAGATTCAAATGATCAAGAAAGGGAAATGGGCGCGCAAAGAGTAGAGCGGGGGAGAGAGAGAGGGAGAAAAACAGTTACGAGGAGAGAGGAAGAGGAGGTGGAAGGGAGAGAGCGATGCGGGGGACAGAGAGGAGAAAGCTTTGCATGCGCGACGCCGTCAACAAAAAAAAGAGAAAAAGGCATCGAAATAGTCACAGCTTGCCTACATCCTAAACCAATTCAAAATTGAAATCACCATATCCGCGCGCGAACGAGCGACGCGGGGAAAGAAAGTCCTACGCCTATTCATATCCCCACAAAATTCTGAGAGTTTTCCCCAACGCGACCGAGAACATTCACACAAAAATGACACGTCGAAGTTCCGCTTATCTCGGGATTCCCAACTGCCGGGCCCAATTCCCAGTGCGCTCGCTAAGGCGCACGTAAATTCCTATGTATTTCCCGAATAAAAAAAAAAACAGAACCCGGGAATCGTAAAAAAAAGCTTCCGAAAGATGGGGGCCCAAAACGCGGCACCCGAAATCAAGAAAACGAAATGGGGTTTTTATGGGGTTGGTATGATACAAGCAAAAAGCGTACGAAAGATAGCACGGGTTTGGGAAGTAGTTCGCCACACATGCACACCACTGAGGGAGTCATCACACTTCTATACAAAAAGGGAGATACGGCGGATGTTAGAAACTACCGCCCCCTGAGCACTAGCGTCCCGACGCCGGCGGACCGGTGAGACCCGGTTCCCCAGGCTAGCGCCTGGGGAGGGAAGCTCCTTGGACGTTGGGCCTGTGCGCGCGCCCAGCACACGTGCGTGGCTCCTTGATTGGCCACGTGGCGTCTGCTGTCGGTGACGCGGCTGTCCGAGACAAGTGGGCAGGGGTAGCGCCAGCTGAGACAGAGATGACGACAAACATAGGGGCGCATCTTTTCGGGAACCTGATGGAGTTGGTGGGGGAGTTGCAACATGGAGATACACTTTTCTACACGGAAGACGACGTCTTGTATGCTGAGGAGGGCGGACAGGATGACGAAGGCATGGTCGGCTACTACGCTAACATTTATGCAGGGTGTGTGGACTGGGAAGTAGAGAGTGAGATGGGCCGTGAAGGGGATGTGTGGAACAGGGATGAATACGAGGGGGGGGCTGGAGGAAGGTGCGAGAACCTGATGGCGCTCTCTTTTCAGGTCGGCGTCGAGAGTGCCGACGCTGATGATGCCACTCATCTGCAGCAGGATGATGGAGACCAGGCGGATGAGTGGGAGGTGGAGCAGGGATTCATTGCAGAGGTGGTGGTTGTGGTGGAAGAGAGGCAGGGAATGGGCGAGATTGGTGTGAACGGTGGGAAGGCTGACGACAACAACAACAACAACAACAACAACAACAACAACAACAACATCAACGATGGCAACGAGCAGCTAATGGGTGAAATCGGCAAGATGGGCGTGGAGGACGCTGACAACAACATCAACGGTGTCAATCATCTGCAGCAGGGTGATGGAGACCAGGCGGATGAGTGGCAGGTGGAGTGAATGGGCAAAATTGGCGAGACGGGCATGGAGAACGCTGAAACAACGGTGTCACTCATCTGCAGCAGGGTGATGGAGACCAGGCGGGTGAGTGGGAGGTGGAGCGAATGGGCGAAATCAGCGAGACGGGCGTGGAGAAAGCTGACAACAACAACAGCGGTGTCACTCATCTGCAGCAGGGTGATGGAGATCAGGCGGATGAGTGGGAGGCGGAGCAGGGATTTATGACAGAGGCGGTCGTTGGGGTGGAGGAGATGCAGGGAATGGGTGAGATCGGCAAGAAGGGTGGCAAAGTGGACAACAACAACAACAACAACAACAACAACAGCAACAACAACGATATCAACAACAACAACAACAACAACAACAACAACAACAACAACAACAACAACGAAGAAACAGGAGCAAGTGAAGTGACTCCAGTATCGACATCAACAACATCAACCACAACAACAACATCAGCAACAACAACACCAAGAACAATTGCAATGGCTCCAACAACAACAATAACAGTGACAAATACAACAACAACAACAACAACAACACGGGCTTCACCTCTGACCCCTTCACAGTATCACGCTCGCTCAGGCAAGGTTGCCCTTTAGCTCCCTCCCTTTTTGTGACCCAAATGGAAATACTCCTTAACATGATAAGAACACAGTCTTACTACACAGGATTGAAATTATCACCTCACTACGAGCTCAAAGTTTCAGCCTTAGCAGATGACTTCTCTGACAGCAGATGACTTCTCTGCTGTGTCAGAGAACTCAGTTACCACGCTCACTGCTCTACGGGAATGCCTCACAGTATATGACGCGGCATCTGAAATGAAGATAAGTAACTCATAAGGTGGAATAAATCCACAGTGCTGACCCCAAACGACACCCCCCTAGCAGCAGATCTTGGTATCCGGTCTACGCTAGCACAATTGCAGAAAGGTACACGAATATCCTGATTTCCTTTGGAGACTGAGTCAAAGAACAGACAAGTATCATTGAAAACCGCATAAGGGATGCCTGCCCAAAGAGATCAAAAGCGCCACACCTCTCGCTTTTCGGTAGAGCACTCGTAATTAACAGTGCTATCCTCTCTTCTCTATATCCTTTCCTTAAGACCACTCGCAACATCGTGAGCCCAACTAGTCCGACAAATCCTCACTAAGTATCTGTGGAAAGGGGATTCTAACATACCTACCTGCACTAACAAGTTTGCCTGGTGGAAAATCACGGAAAGAAGTCCCAAAGAGGTCTAGGTATCCTAGACCCAGAGAAACAGAATGATGCTTTGCTGGCCAAATGGGCAGTAACACTGCTAATTTCTTCGGACATCCAGCCGTGGATGGTGCAGGCTCAAACAATCTTAGCGAAAGATTGGGGTCTTAACTACCCCGATGCAGATGGCAGGCACTGTCAATGCATCCATTCATCTCATCGGTTAAGTCTACCACCTGGCAGCCTATCCTGAAATCATGGGGTAGGATACTACCTTACACGTTATCACACCCGTCTGACAGTACAGAAGTACTGCATACATGCCTCTATGAGAACTCCACAATTCTTAATGCCTGAGGACAACCATTCTCTGCTGCTAACAAACCAGGCAACTTTGCTTGCAAATGGATGCAGCGGGGTATTCGGCAGATCCGCCACCTGGTCGTACAGAATACAGGGGGTTGGTTCCCCTTGGAAGAGCTCAGACAAAAGTTAAGGGGACTGCACAATGTGGAAGGACACAAGAGTTGCACTTATCCGGGCCATACCGATCACATGGCTAACAGTACTCAGGAACAAGGAGCAAGACCAACAAGCTGGCACACGGTGGAAAATGATACATCTAATGTTGTGCACATCGATTCAAGGGTCAATCAGACAATAGTCTTCTCCAAGTGGAGACCAGGCAAGACATATCTGGAAAGAAAATTTTAAAGACAACACTGATGTACAATTCAACCCGAGCTGGCAAGAATTAGCAGTACGGACAAACGAGCGGTGCGGTACGGACAAACGAGCAAAGAGGCAAGGTGAGATTCTCACTCCTACTCGATGGACAACCTAAGGACAAATGGAGAATCGACGCACAGAGGACGGGCTGGGTATTCTCAGGCGAATCTGCTGAGACAACTCGAATCCCGATATCGGATTACACCCCCCAGATCGGGTACAAACTGCGCTCAAAGGCCACCTCACTGAAAATGAATGTTGTTCTCTTGGAAGAAGAAGGAAAGCCACTGTGGTAATCCTCTTCCGAACCTCAACATTCACTGGGTTACCTCCTTCATCGCATTATTGCTGAGCACACTGGAAGTCAAGCTAGCAGGTCTGCAGTGGATGCATCTCCGCTTTTGCGTTCCTACGGCAGCATGGTGTGCTGGAAAAGGAAATTCCATGCAGATGTGGGCCCTCTGTGACATCTGCCCTCGGGAATATTTGGAGGATTCAACTCACCTGTGGTGGGAATGTGTAGTGGCCAGGGGATTCTGGGAATTTTGGTTAGTCGAATGTGGTTTGCAGTATATGGATCACATTCTGAAGAAGTCTGGACGAAAGACTTCATCATAAGAGGGAGTACGAAGAAAGACACAAAAACAATCATAGGTTAAAAAAAAAGGACTCACTCAAGCTACTCAAAAAAAAGAAAAAAGAAAAAAAAAGGGGGTTACAAGTTCAGAACAGTAGGCTTTTGGATTTTGTGGCTAGCTAGAAGAGAGAGACATTTTAAAAATACTACCTGGTCTCAGTTCGCAGTTAGAAATAAGTTTTTTTTATTTATTTTTTAATTTTTTTTTATTTTTTTTATTTTAAGAGAAGCTCCATCTATTGGTGGGGAGCAGCACCTGCTGGAAACCGGGTCCAGCGTCCCATAGATACAACTTTTCCTCACAGGTTGGCACAAAACTGGGAACCGGGCCCAGCGTCCCATCACGAATACATTCGGAAAATTCCATCAGAACTTGCATGAGAAAGAACCAGGAACTACTAGGAAAATCTAATTAGAACTACGTTTTTGGTTTGAAATAGGACCTCAACTTTCCGTCTCCCTTCGACGAGCCGACCTCCTCCACCACATAGTTCGAAGGGAGAGAAGAAAGCAATCAGTCCAGAAACAAATTCTGAACAAGTCTGAGAACAATTAGCTTCCTGCCTGCTATGCCTAGCAACCCCCTGCTCTTCCGCATCTCCCGAGCAGCCGACCTCCTCCACCACATAGTTCGGCAGATAAGAAACAGCAGGCAATTAACCTCTCCTAAACCCATATGGTTAAGAATGGACTTCAATTTTCCTTCTCCCTTCGACAAGCCGACCTCCTCCACCACATAGTTCAAAGAGAGAGAAGATAATTGGAGTCCAATCAAGGAATTGAGAAAATGTCATCATATCTTTTTTGACGACGCCGTAAAAAGGATACGCTTCCATTGGTCACAGCTCAAACCAATCCCTACCCACTATACCTTGTCTCATGCTGCCTCCACCGAGGAAAATCCCTCGGCCCCAACATAAAACAGATCCCCTCCCCTCCCACCACCTCCTCCGCAACGGCAACCAATCCCCTCCTAGAGGCTGCCTTTGCCCACCCCTTGTCCCTATCTNTGTCTCATGCTGCCTCCACCGAGGAAAATCCCTCGGCCCCAACATAAAACAGATCCCCTCCCCTCCCACCACCWCCTCCGCAACGGCAACCAATCCCCTCCTAGAGGCTGCCTTTGCCCACCCCTTGTCCCTATCTGCCCCCGCTGGGGTTGGAGGTGACCAACTCACCAACCCCAGCCCCAGACTCAGACAATCCCCAATCTGCCCTACTCCCAATAGGGCTACTGCCTCCCACCATGCAACACCCCTGTAGAATAAGGCTAAATAAGTTCAAATATGCTGTTCGTAATCTAATTTGGGCGGAATGGAGGAAGGCGAGGCTCTCCTGGCCGCTGTCCCAAATAGCAAAAAGGAGAATGGCGGCAAGCCGGGATGTTCCATATAAGTGGATATCCTTCTCTGACCAAGGTCTACTTACCACCTCCTGCTTCCTTTTTTTTTTTTTTTTTTTTTTAATTTTAAAGGCCCTCGTACAAGACCTCTATCCCGGTGGTGGTAAGAGAACCACCGGGATCGAGGCTTTGCCTGGCGGACCACTCCAACCACCTCCTGCTTCCTAAGGGACGAGGTGGACACCTCCTGCTTCCTAAGGGACGAGGTGGAAGAAAAGACTCGACTCAGTAGAATATCTCTGCAGGTGCCGCTCCCCACCAATAGATGGAGCCTCCTCGACAGTGCTAGAGATGTCTGCTCTTACCAGCATCCCTAGCACTAGTTCGAGTTGTTTAAAAAAAATAAAAAAATAAATAAATAAAAAAAAAAAAAAAAAAAATCTCTGCAGGTACAAGTGTAAGTCAAGTCAGATAGAGCCTAGCCTAGTTAGGAGACTAGGTCCTCGGGTCGTATTCAGGCAGCTGCAGTAAGCTGAGAGGATTTCCTATTGGGGATTCATCCCTGGGCTTTTTTTTTGGGAGCGAAGCTGGGTAAGGCTCCCAGAATCTCCATTATCAACTATGTATTCACGTAGGGACGCAGAACCCGTTTTCCAGCAGGTGCAGCTTCCCACCTATGGAACTGAGTCATCCACTCACCAAAAAAAAAGGAAAAAAAGAAAGACACAAAAACAAACAAACAAGAAATGCAAGTCCCAGTTGCATTGCAACTGGACTGATTTTGGCATCTCCAGACCTGAATGGGGTGTTTTTTTTTTTTTTTTTTTTTTAAGCCCAGGTTGGTGTAGAGGCCAGGTATAGACCCAGGTGGGTACTGTCACAGGAGCGCTGGAACGGAAGATTCCCAGTAGAGAACAGACGGCTCGGTTACAACGGTTCTTTTCTTGGGAAAAGTCGCGCTAGCGCTAGCAGCCTGCGCTAGCCAACCGACGCAGCTCAGTTGCACCTGGCTCAACCAGCATCTGGGGAGGCTTTTCTCTCCCAGGTTGCTGGACTTGTTGACTCGCCCGACATGTGGCAGTATTGTCGTGCGTGACATGGCTGTTTCGAAGGAGGAGGACGCGTGTACAG